TTATTGCTCTTTACTCTTCTCGAAACCTACGTGTGAAACAATCACACGCTAAGTCGTTGACTTAGTGAGGCATATAAACATATAATAAAAACCATAGAACATTTCATATAACAAAACACATACCTGTACAAATACTATCATTATCATTAACATATCTATCATATAATATCATACATTTTTCCAATCAATACCCATTTCATCCGATGAATATGTATTCTAAACATTTGATCATGACATTTCAATATGCATGTATCTATTACACGATAACATATATAATCATATCATGCACATACGAAACTTACCTTCTTGTACCACTTTCACTTTAAAGTTTGTATTTCAATTACCCATGTATATTATTGAGAATAGAGGTATGTGAGTACATTGAGGTTGTGCACTAATGTTGTCACCACAGCTCGTATCAATTCCCTCATGGGGCACCGAACCTTAGTTCAGTATTCGTCCCGTAGGACCACTGTATATGTCTCGTAGGACCACTATGTCCCGAAGGACTACTCCTTAAGAACCACATACATAATACAATGGCTCCAATAAGTGTACCGAAGTACTACATATAGGTTCCACATAATTACATACATGTCCCGAAGGACCACGTAGAACCCTCGACTCTTGGCATGCCAACTATACTTATAGCTCTCATATCATATACTATGGGCATTATTCTTATGTTTCATATCACTTGTTCCTTTTCTTCTGTCACATACCATATGTATGTGTGAACATACATCTCATATCATATAACCTTTATCTCAAGTGCATGTAATCACGTATTACATGTAATCACGTAGATCATTTCATATGGATTATATCATTTCTCATTTTTCATGTAAACACACATGTCATATCTTATTCACATATATTCATATATACATCATATATCACATAGAATAACATATAAACTTATACATATATTCATGTACATACTTTCATATAGTTCGTCTATCAATGCCCTATAACTTATCTCACATTATTTATATCATGGTTTCATATATTTACTTAATTCAATTTCACATAACTTGTTACCTATATATATTCTTATAACTTATCATCACATAACTCCCATAACATCTTCCTATAGCTTCATAGATCTTTACTATATGACTCATATATTACATGTTCATTTAAGCCCATAACTCTTCCCATATAGCTTATCTTACATGTTCATATAATCACTTCTGTCAATGTCTCCTAATTTATATATCATTTTCATATTGTCCTATAGGTCAATGTTATTTAACTTGTCTCACTTTTCATTTCATCTCATAAGTTGGTTATACTAATTCTCATATATTTAACTCGTGTAATTTATATCTTGTTATTATATCTTCAACTAGACCTATATCCACATGTTCATAATCACATATGTCTATGTCGTTTAACTTATCATTTATATCTATATCATCTATTTTATATCATTTTCTCTTGCTATCACATAAGTCCTTGCTATTTTTACATAGTTCGTGATCATATAGTCAATTATAATAGCATATGTTTATCTTATTTAATATCATATAGTTCTTTAACTCATGTCTTATATCACATATTTATATTATAAACTTATATAATCACATATACTATTTAAACCAGTTCACATAGCTTATCACACTAACATATATTCATTCAATTCATGTAACATATGCAATACATATAACATATGTACCCAATTTCATGCACTCATGCAAACATAAGAATCACAATTCAAATAACATTTTTAGGAGTCCCTTCTTACCATAGTGACTCCATCACTGGCTCATCGCAAGCCAATGTTTATTTGATACATAAGTACAATTTAAATTGCACTCACCTTAGCTTTGCTTTGATTTGAATCAATCCTAATCCTTCGATTGTTCCGGAAGAAGCTTACTTTTAGTATCTACATAATCCCACATGGATCTATATCAGTATTATAACTAATATACTCTAATGGTTCACTCTTTAGACTAAGAGAAAAGTCAATTTCATCTTTTAATGAATGTATGCATCGATGCACTACTGATGCATCGGTGCATAAAATGTATTCGATGTTGTATTATTACTGGGATGCATCGATGCATGCCTTATGCATCGATGCACTAATTGCATTCGATGTTTCCTTATTAATAGGATGCATCGATGCACTACTGATGCATCGATGCACAAATTGCATTCGATGTATTTAGTTTAAAAGAGTGCATCGATGCACTACCAATGCATCGATACACCTTCAAACAATTTCTGGGTTTTAACATTGATGCATCGGTGCACTATGAATATGCATCGATGCACTCTACCCAGAACCTCTTTTTGAACCCGAAAAACCCTTCTTTTTGGATTAAATCCTTCATATTTCAACCCCTTTCATATTCCTAACTTTCATATACCTAATTAAACTCATTAATATTCATTTATCTCATCTTTAACCTTAATATCCTCTCCTCTTTAGGAATTTCAAGAATCATACCCTATTTTCCACATGTTTCAAATCCAATTCTAACACTTAATATTTCTTAATTAAGCTGATGGCAAGTCAAATCCAACTTTAGAACTTCAAAAACCTTTCTATAACAAAATTTCATTTATAAACCCTTAATAGAAATTCCTTTCTAATTCTATCTCTTTGGTGTTTTAAACTTATATAAGCTTTCCTTAAGCTTATATAACCCTCAAAGACTCAAATCCAACTTAAAACTTTCAAGAAATTAAAAGCTAAATCAAACTTACCTTTGCTCTTGGCTTCCACGTGAAGAAGAAGAAGAAAGGAGAAGAGAATTCTGGAGAATTCTCTCCCTTTCCACGTATATATAATTCCATTTTTTTCCTTAAATGATCAAATGACCATTTTACCCTTTATTTCCTTTAATAATTACTAAATAACATTCATCATATATATCCAATAATCATTGAACTACTTCATTCTTCTACTTTAGTCATCAAATTCTGAAACTTTACAATTTGGTCACTAACCCATAATTTGGGATGTTACAATCCGTGTCCAATGAGTTTGCCGAGCATTTTCGTGTAGAGAACATGGCTTCAAAGACCATCTTAAGAGAAGGGTTGAAGCAGGGGCTTGCCGAGAATGTTCAAGTGAGGAACAATCCTTCAAAGACTAGTGGACAAGAGTCGAAGGGAGCCAAGACGTTGAGGGACAAGGCAACCACAAAGAAACTGCCCAATAACAAGTGGGTTTATAGGACGGTGGCTACGAACAAACTGAAGTTGTATTCAGCTTCAGTTGGCATGCTACAATAACAAGAGCAAAAATGTTGTTGCATTGATCGAGGTGTGAAGACATATTAAAATCAGTCTTCAAGTGAGAGATTGTTGAAAAGTCAAGCATGAAAAGTCGTAGGCCAAAACTTTCCACAATTTTGGTGGGTGATTTTCGGTGCATGTGCAATTAAAAATTGGTTGTTTTTGTTGAAAAAATGGCAATGGGAATATTACAATTAGTCATGGACTTTAGGGTATTTACAATATTAGTCCTTAAGCTTCAACTATAAGTACTCTAACCCATTTAGCTTCAAAATCAGCCCAAATAATTTCTTTCCCCCAATACTAAACAGTTTAGAGAGTTTTCTTGTGAGTGTTTTTGTAAACACCTGTAAAATTTCTCTCTTTAGTAAAAGATTTGCAGTAGTCCGGAGACGTATGCATAATTGGTTGAACTCCGTTATCAATTTCGGGTATTATTTTTCCGCTTTTATTTCGCATTCTCACTAATCTGGTTATAGGGAAATTACTCGTTTATTTCCCAACACTATTAAGTTTAGCAGGAGCCGGAAATTAAAGGCTTGAGCTTACACATACTGCAGACATGGGTGGTATAAAACTTTTGCAACGTCAAAAACAAAATGATATCAGTTAAGAGAGTCCAAGTCACAAATAAAATTGCTTATATCTTCTATTTTCTGTCTGTATTCTTCCCTATTCTATATTTTTCCTTCAAGTTTAAATTATTTTTTTAGAAAATAGAGATTTAAAGTTAATAAGTAAAATTTATTTTTTTCTTAACTGGGAGTCAAATGGCTGGACGTTAAACCAAATATAAAAATGTGAAATATGTTATTCAACATTAAGAAACTTTACATTAATGATATTTATGATTTTAATGTACTACAAGTTCGGATTTAATAAAATAATGTATTTTCTTTTACGTTTATATGTTGTTTTGTTTTTATTCGTTCTTTTGATCATGGGTTTGGTGTGCTTCAGTCGCATCCCAAAAGCTTGTTTGTTTCTTAGGGTGGTAGGAATCCTACTCTCCTAAATTTTTTATTCGACCCTAATTCAAACTTGTGTTTGGAATCTCATCCTTGATAGTTTTATTATGGCAAAAATATATATATAGGAACCTCCTTTTATCTCCATATAGTTAGATGTGTCAAAATAAGAAAGTGGTAATATTTAAAAAAAAATTGAGGTTTTGAATCCAATGTGATTTTTTATTAGACCCTAATCCAAACTTAGTATCTCATTATATCACGAGCCTCAATTGAAGTTGTTGGTGTGTTTTCCCTATCATTGTAATCTCATCCTTGGATAGTTTTATTATGGTAAAAAGATATAGGAAACTCTTTCTAATTCCATATAGCATGTGTCAAAATAAGAATAATGAGGTAATAATTCTTTAAAAGAAATTGAGATTTTAAATCCAATGTGATTTTTGATTCGACCCTAATACAAACTTAGTGTCTCATTATATCACGAGTCCCAATTAAAGTTGTTAATTTGACTTCCCTATATTTTGTAATCTCATCCTTGGATAGTTTTATTATGGTAAAAAAATATAGGAACCTTTTTCTACCTCCATATAGCTAGATGTGTCAAAATAAGAATGAGGTACGTAATAATTCTTTAAAAAAAATTGAGGTTTTAAATCCAATGTGTAATAGTAATTTACTCTTGAAAACGAGAAACTGTATGCCACATGTTTTAGTAAGAGGGGAAAAGCTTATCCAATAAAAGTTTCAAGAGGCTAATGACATGAATATCGACTCCAAAGAAGATGTTTATTTTGCCAGACTCCAAGAACGTCATTACCATTAATGGCCTCTTTTGGTTGAACTGTTGTTTGGTTTAAGCGCACCGAACTTCCCAGCTAGTCCTCATGCTACTTGAAGTAACAAACATATTTCAGAGACGTTAAAAAAAAGGATGAATATCCCTAATCACCTCCACAAACCTCCCTCTATCCGGGGAAACAAAGCCTCTACTAATTCCCGTCTTTCATAACTTTTTCTTCTTTTATGATTCTGATTTCGAAATTTAATGTGTTCATCGTACCTTTATTATTTTTCTAATATATGAACATCTGCAGCTGATGGAATAGGCTTATCTGATTCTGGCCTTTAGGTGGCCAACGGCCTTCTCCTGTTCAGTAAGTGCGTGACGGAAATGGCATCGATGGCCGTAAGGACAGACATTACCAGCAAGGACCATCCTGCAGACCTCAGTCTTGTATCGAGGGTGGCGTATTACAGGGCGGAGCTCTTCAATACTGTGAGCGAACTGGCAGTAGTCACCATATGGACACGCACCAGTCTCTTGCCATTTGTTGCAGAGCTCTGTCTTTAACATGCCTTGGTTGTATACTTCCAGTTCGAGTGGCTCTTCTTCCTCCTTCCCTCCTTGCACGTAAACCTTCTGCTTCACATTCGCCTAAAAAAATTAATCAGCAGATCTATTATAAGGATTTAACTAATTAGAACAAAAAACAAATGTAATTCTATTACTGATATTAATGACAGACAATATAAGCTTAGTTGCTTCTAAAATAATTCATTGCCAAGTCAGAGAAAGGCATTCATTAAATAAAATAAAATAAAAGTCAATATAATTAATGGTGCCCATTCCTTTGTTTTGCTGCGAGAAAAATATTACTGGAACTTAAATGGCAGAATAAACAAAATACACAACAGTAAACTGGAAATTATGAATTTGAAATCCAAACATAAATAAGAAGAAAAATTAAAAGAATGTTAAAATTAAACTCACAGCTCCACTGATCTGTTGAGAAGCATTTGCAGTTGCGGTCCGAGTTAATCCCCGAGTTTTACCACGATGGCTCGCTGCTCCAACTTTACTCATCATCTTCAGATATCCATTAGACCTAACGGATATGCTCTTAGGCAACATAACCCTCTCAAAATCCACTTCATCTTCCACATCAGAAACTTCTTCCTCTTCTACACCGTCACCACCGAGACAGAGTCCTCCCAAAGCGTTCACCAACTCAAACGGCGTGGTGTTGTAATCATAGGATGCAAAGTGGTCCTGGACTGAGGCTTGGATCAGTACGCCGAGTTGCTTGTTGAGGTCGCAATTGACTGATCTCAGACAAGTATTCTCTTGGCGGAGTGATTCGGCTTCTTTTGCAGCTTCGCGGAAGCGCGCGAGGCAGAGGCTGTGGCGGTTAATCATATCTTGATGCTGTTGCATGAGGAGACGGGGATTATATAGAGCGAAGAGAGAGGCGGCAGCGGCGGAGGAAGAGTAAACTCCGCTGCCGGGGTGATCGTTCGATTGTCTGGCTGTGAGGTCAACGTATGCGGTTGAAACATTGTCGTTTTGCATTTGCGATTGAATGTACTGAAAGCCTGAAAAATAATTTAAAAAATGCAGTCATATCAAACAAAAACAAAGAGCAGAAAGAGATTAAGCGAGAAAAAGGCATTGAATCGGGGCAAATTTGACGCTCACCTGAACCTTTAAAGAACACTTCTGGAATTCTAATTAGAGCAGAGGGAGAGGTATTTGTGGTTTATTTTTTCCTTTTCGTTTTGTTTGGATGGAGAGAAATTATAATGAAAGCCAAAGGAAGAAATCTGATAAATGGGTTTGTTGAAGAAAGATTTGGAGGGAAAAGGTGGGCCCTCCGTGAATCGAAGAGAAAGGAATTCCGGAATCAAAACCGTTAAAATAAGCACATTACAGAATTACCCTTTTGTCCACATCTAGTCTTTGCAACATTTTACCAGTGTCACCCCTGTATTTCAAACATCTTAAATCACTCGTTATGGGTATTTAAGTCATTTAATATAAAACAAAATTGAAGATCAAAATTCCACATCATAAATGAATAAACAAATTATGTATAAATAAAGGACACTATTGTGTTACGTTAAATGAAAGGATTACAAGTTAACCTAAGCAAATCTAATTAATCAATTTAATTTATTTATAATTTATTTTTTAAAGAAAAACGGTGTCGTCTAAAAGGCCAGGGAAGCTGAATTAATAAAGGGGTAATGGCCCAGTAGCAGTTAGAGAGGCATTTGATTTGCTTGTAATAGAAGTTAATTTAATGGTGGGTTATTGTGTATGTGAAGTTTTAAAGAAATTTCAAGTCATCAAGTGAGATTAAGACATATAAGCCATTTGGGAAGAACCAAGGAAGCCATCATTTGATTGCTTCTTTATCACAACTATAACTACCTCCTATATCATATCTAATTAAATCTCTTAATTGGTTTCATAATATTAAAGAAAAAGAAAGAAAAATATAGAGTATATATATATATATTAATTAGGGTGTTTATTATAGCATCTATATAAGATGTTAGAATTACCCGATGATTTTTATAAAATACTTGGATCATTCAACAATTTTAAAAAATATGTGAATAAGGGTGTCTTCTCGAAGCTCCATGCATGCATGATAGCAGGGATAGCTGACAACGCTCTCGTAGTTGTCAGGTGATCCATATGTGCAAACACCCTAGTTGAAGAAATCACATTGATCACAAAACTACTTCTAAAAGACATCTACATCATCAGACAATTTTTGGAGGATCATCAATTATTCCTTCTATCATGTATGCATGAAATCTGAGAAGACACCTTGTAATCTGTGGGTTTTTAAAATCGTAGAGTGATTTTGATGTCTTCCACAAATATTGTAGCAAACATCTTAGTTAAAAAATAAATTTTGTTCACTGATATATTTTTCTAATACATTAGTAGAACAAGGGTAAACTATACTAATGATCATTAATGTTTGGGTAAGTTTTCATTTTTTCCACTGAAGTTTCAAAAGTAACAAATTGGTCATTAACATTTTCGATTTATAGCAAATTATTCACTCCACCATCATCCGTGTTAAATTGATATCGTGACAACGTTAACAAAAAAATTTATTATTTAGTTTTACCCCTAAACTACTGCAAAAACATCAAATAAGTTCTTGAATAATTATTTTATATCTAATTTACCTCAAAACTTTCTAATTTCTATTTTTCCCCCAAACACTCCACCACTTCCTGCTGCGACACTACAAGCATTGGAAGAACAATTGGAATATCTTCTTAAGTAGCTCTTTAGTTTCAGCACCGAAAACTGCCTTTGCGAACTCTTTCACCATTTTTGGAAGGCTTACAAGCCGTAGATAGAATCAAATCCTCCATTAAAATGGAAACAACAAGCTTTGTGTATAAGTCGTGATGCATTCATTCTGGCAGTCAAGTATGGATTGCCCATTTGATCAACCAATAAGATAAGAAAAAATAGGAAGAGTTAACTATAGGTCTATAAACATCAACTGCCATCATAATTTCTGCAGCAGATTCCAGAAGAGTCTCTGTTATTTGGGAATCTTCAGTAGCTGCCAGAGCATTTTTAATCGTACCCAAAAAGTTTTCCTCACTGCTTTTACATGAAGCATTCCCATCTGAAAATAGAAAACTCAGTATTGGATCTTGAAGGAATGAATTAATCTGAATGCAGAATGCTTCTCTTGTGGACTTCTTTCTGTTGAGCAACGGAAAATCAATGCATTTCACCCACTCTGTTCTCAATTTAAGCAGAACATCCTGAGGGCCACGTAAAAGGATCCTTCGAATAGCTGTAACACATGCAAGTTGAACATTTTAGGAAGACTCATCGTGAAGTAGATTAATATATAAAGAATGAAGATAAACAAAATTAAAATTGTCACCACTCCCCAAGCTATTTAATCCCTGCGGGAGGATGATTTTATAATTTGGCTCATCATTGTGCAAAAACACTTCTATCACACTTTGAACACCAAAATCCTTGTAGCAAACAATCTAATGTCTCGATCTGTTTCACATATTTGATATGTAAAAATAGTCTGCATGAACATTTTTCTATTCCATCGACACCATGGGAAGATCCATATAGGCATGATTAAAACCCAAGACAGTATGGAATCACTTTCCTCACCTTTTCATGCTTATCTTTCTCCAAGGACCCGTTTTGTAAGGAAGGTGAATCAAATATAGTGGAAGTGATGGGGTGCTTGAAAGAAAATGGAAACTAGAAAGTTTTTTTTTTTTTTTTATAAATTAGATATAAAACCATTGTTTACGGACCTATTTGATGTTTTAGCAGAAGTTTAGGGTAAAAGTAAATATTAGCATTTTTGTTAACGCTGCCACATCATAAATTTAATGGATGATAGTAAAGTGACCGTTTTGTTATAAATCGAAAACGTTAGTGATTAATTTGTTACTTTTACAATGTTAATATAAAATTAATAATTTACTCAAATATTAATGACCATTGGTGTAGTTTACCCTTAAAACAATTTTACCCGAACAAACCCTCAATCTTCAAATCAAAAGCTCTCTCGTTATATTTACAAGCAACAAAAATCTTATTCTCTCTTACATTATCTAATAACTAGGTTTACGGGACGGTTTGTGCCAACTAAAGGAGAATGGCGGACTCGGGTTTAAGGACATAGCCAAATTCAATATATCTCTCTTGGCAAAGCAAGGTTGGCAATTGTTTATTAACCCGTCCTCTTTGGTGGGACGTTTTTTTGCGTGCAAAGTCCCTTTTTATGGCATAAAAGCGATCAGAATTCGAACACGTCGCGTTTTACTGTAACTTTAACATTTGAAATCTAAGTTTAATTAAATCAGAATAAGATATGTGCCTATCCAATCCAAAGACTATAACACCTTTGGGCAAGAGAAATAATTAATTGAATTGAAGAGGTCGATTTCCCCCCTCCCCTCTCATTTATAACTAAGAAATGCTCTTCTTTAGTCTTAACAAAACAAAACTGAATTGGATAAGAGTTGTCATAGTTGAATGTAGAAGTACAAACATAATTAAATTATAATATTTTGAAATATTTATACATGAAATCTAACCGTTTCAATTATCATCGTACAAAAAGATCGAGACTATTTTTTTCCTTTATATCTACATTATGAATTGCACTATCCTTGCACAAGTTAAGGTATCAAATTCTCAAGTTTCCAGTAGGTTATCCCTCAAAGATCTTAAGGCGAAATTCTTCGTTGGATGAAGTGTTTTTGTAGCCCAATTCATGATTTGTTCAACAGCCCATTTCAAGTTTACTTAAACACTACATTCAATGCTCCAAGGGAGGATGATTGCATAAGAACTCTTCCTTTTAGGACGCCCAGATTGATTTTAAGGAGATTAAATTCGTATTTTATTGTATTATTTACATCATTGCTTAATTCTTATTGGATAAGGCACGTCATTAATAATATACAAAAATAAATATCATAAACACATCAAATGACAGAGGTTCATTATAGGGACAATCTTCCCTACCTAATTTATTCCTTTCATAAACGTCATGATTTAAACATGTGACATTACCTAAAGAATCTAATGTTTCATCTTATTAGACCAACTGGTTATTGGTGCAGGACAAAAGATTTCAAATGTGAACTTGTTTCACGTTAATGAAAATAAAATAAACTATATGTTTAGTATCACAACAATAATTTTTCTCCTTTTGATCATTATTTTTTAAAAAATTATACCTAATTTTTAGTTTTAATTTTTTAGTGATATTGATAGGTTTTTTAATTTATTTAAATTTTTAACTGTGAATGATAAAAAAATCAAAACTATATAATTAAAAAATATTAATTAAATGACCAAACATAACAAAAATAATGGTTAAAATATTAAAAATATAATTATCTATATATATATATATATATAGTTGGGTTCAATTGCATTCCCAGTCGGCCTATCCTCAAATGTGACGTGAAGATTCTGGTTCTAGAAAATGAAACGTTAGACCATCAGAATACAGAACAAGAGCATCTGATTCTTGTAACCATGAATTTAAATTTTGATGGGAAATGATCACGTACAATAATCTTAATATACGGTTAAAGATATATTATCGATTTTATTATTATTTAAAAAATAAAATAAGTAAAAATATCTAAAATATTATTATTTTTACCTATTTTATTATTTTTTATTAATTTTATTATTGTTAGACATTTTATTTGAAATGTTAAAAAATATTGATATTTAAGGTAAAAATAATAATTTTTTAAATATTTTTTTATCAATTTTTTTATTTAAATAATAATAAAATCGATAATACCTTTTTTAAATATATATTAAGGATACCGCACTTTGTAACTCCCCCCATTGCATTTGGCTAAGCCTTTTCCACTACTTTACAGCGCTGCACCTCTTCTTCCACCGCCTGACAGATCATTCCCGCTTCGCCCAATGCCAGCGCGTGCTTGTGTTGTGCCTACTACGTTTCCCGCTTCTCGACTTTTACCGGTTTACGTTATAAAATATATAATAAAATGTATAAAACCTGAATAATGTGATTGCGTCAGCCGTTGCGGCTACGTTTGGCGGTTCGGGTAAGTTAAGCTACTGTTTCGAGGTGCTTTCAATTTTCTATTTCTTTCTTTTCAAATTAACGAAACCGCGTTTCCTAAAGTTGATTTTCCACAATACCAAAAGAAAATTCTGATTTTCAACGTCTACTTTGGTTGCGTATAGTTTTTATTCTCCTCCTTTTTAAATTTAACTCAATCGTTGATGTATTTCTATATTAATTAAAATTATTATATGTTATCCATTACAAATTTATATTAATATTTAAACTATAATATAAAATATGAGGTCGAATAATCTTTCAAAATAATATAAACAATTTTCATTGTTAGGATATCACTAAATTGACATTAAAAATAATTTAATGTTCTAAAATTATAAAATTTACAATAAAATAAAAAAAGAAATAAAGACAAATAATAAGACTAGAATGATAAAAGAGCTTGTTCATTAACATAAATTAATGGGTTGATAAATGAGTTTTGTTCGTAAACATAAATGAATCACACACACATATATTCATGTTCGTTCATTTATTAAATAAACATAAATTTTTTATTCATACTCGTTTATTTAGCTTAATAAACGAACGGTTCACGAACAGTTCACTCAACGTTCTAATCATTTACACCCTATAAATAGATCGAGCTAAATATGGCAATGATAAATTTAATTTGATTTGATTTTTTTTTACATAAAGTTAAATAATTTATAAGGCATCTGTTTATTTTTTTATAACTATTGTGTTTAATTCGACAATAAATTAATCAAAATGAGATACTACAATGATTTATTATAAAAGTATTATTCTAACACAATTATTTTAATTTAAATATTAGAATTCGTAATCTGAATATTACTTAAAAAAAATTAATAGTTTGGTTCATTAAATTAACTTATAACTAACGAAGACAATTGTCTTAATTACAACTTCTTTTGATTATTTTTTTCGTGGGTTGAGGCTGGAGCTTGATACTTGAGATATGCAGCCGTAACTGACTGAGGAAGGGTAGAGATAGAGAGTCGAAGTTGGTGCAATGGAAAAAGGGTGAGGTTGACTCACTGATAAGTTGAAAACTTGGATGAGGGTATGCTGAATTTGCTTCAAATAGAAAAGTCATAAGAGACAGGGAAAGGGCGCTTCTCATTTAAGTTGTCTGAACTAGGGTTATTAACGAGCCGAGTTAAGTTTGAGTATTGCAGAGTTCGACTTGATTAAAAAATGTTAAAATTGAGTTTAATTCTGTTTGAAAATTTGTGAACTTAAAATTCTTAAGCTCGACTTGAATTCAAAACAATAAACTGAAGTTCTAAAAAGTCTAAAATCAAAGAAATATCTTAATTAGTTGAAGTTCAAACTCGAATTCAAACCTTAACCTTAAGTATATAAGTATTAATATTATTAATAATTTAATTTTTTAAAAAAGTAAATTGTAATTTATTATTTTTTTAAATTGGTCACAAGTTTTTCGAGTTGAGTATCAAATAGCTCGTTTTGACTTGTTAAGAACTCGAGTCGAGTTTGAGCTCAATTTGAGTCCATTCAAGTTGAGTATTTATCAAACTTTGCTAGAATCAAACTTGAATAACTCATATTTGTCTCACCTCATTTATAATACTAGTATGCAGTGCAAAGCCATAAAATAAACTCACGATAAATTTTATAATTTTGAATATTTTTAAACAAAATAATAATTTAAATGAATTAATACAACAATTATATCGAATATAAAAATGTGACTAAATAAAGGATAACTATTGCTACCTACTTTTAAAACAAACTCACAAACTAATTTGTTTAATATATATAAATATATATTGATTAATCTGAGATAAATACAATATATTATATGTTTAAAGATAATACATAAAAAAATGATGAGCGTAAGAACTATCAAGTGACATCAATGATAAAATATAATATCTATAAGGTATATATATATTGTTAATAAATTAAAAAAAATCTAAATAAATATTTCTTTATGATTATCCCAAACTATAAAAAAGATGATGGGGTGTAGCTTCAATTATTCAAAAAAAGATGATGGGGTGTAGCTTCAATTATTCAAATATCACTATGAAACTAATTAAATATTAAAAATAATATTTATTATTAATTATTAATTAAATTGATACATTTTTATGTTATATTAAAAAGATATAAAAAACAATGTGTATAAAAAATTATACAAATTCTATTACAAAATATAAATATACGTAATACCTATCATTTCAACAATTACTTAATTGGTGACGATTTTATTATATGTGAAATTTAAAGGATATTTTAATAATTAATTAAAATGGAATATTTTTTTAGTTGAGAGGTGAATAAAAATCAATTTGAATGAAAAAAATTAAAAAAAATCATTCGACTCGAATCATAATTTAGTAAAGCCGATTCAACTTGAGAAAATTTTAAATTCGAGTTGGTTTATAAAATAAAATTCAAATAATATAATTGATTTTTAAGTTTGAATTAAGTCCTCAACTATATATGTTATATGTATGTGTGCGTGTATATATATTGTTTATGGTTATTAAAAACCTTTTAAATTGTAATCAAATAGTACTATAAACATTATAAATATTTATAAAAATAAACTCAAATAATTTAACTCAATTCAAGTCAACACAAATTTCACAAACTTGATTCAACTCAAAAAAAAATTTAAATAAAATTTGAATTATAAAATATGATTCATTAACTAGAATAATTTAATTTTTCAACTAAACTCAATCGATTATTTATTTTTTAACTTTATTTTATTATTTTAGGGCGATGGTTAGTGTCTTAACCGTTTACAGCTCTACAAAGTATCCAGGGTTAATGATAATTAGCAGGGAGTAAAGTAGCTGTCAAACCATTTGACTGAACATAGTTTTATTTTATTTCAACTTGCTATAATATAATTAAGAAAAATTATTAATACTGACATAGTGGTTCAGTTAATTTCTCCTAAATTATTTTTGAAGATACCCAAAAAGAAAAAGAAACAGCTAGTCGAAAGGCAAAACTAGGTGTTGAGTATCTACCTTACCTATATATAAAAGCATCAAATTTCTACCACCTTAATACCCTCCTTTTTCTCTCTCTCCGGAAATGGAAACCGCACCTCCGCCACCCGCGGCTGCTCCACCTCTTTCATCGGCTATCAACAATTCAGCCTTCCCCGCTGCCGCAATCCCCACCACTTATGCTGATTCCATCGATTCTTCACCACGCTCCCGACACACGGACTCATGGGAAGACCCTGCTCCTGCCCCTGCTCTCCACTTGAAGCTCCGCCTTATGTGCAGCTATGGCGGCACCATCTTCCCTCGTCCCCACGATAAAACGTTAAGTTATATCGGCGGAGACACTCATATGGTTGTGGTAGACCGCCACAATTCCCTCGCCTCTCTCCATCACCGTCTCTCCCATTCTCTTCTTCACGGCCGCCCGTTTACTCTCAAGTACCAGCTTCCCTCCGAAGATCTCGACTCTCTCATCTCCGTTACAACCGACGAAGACCTTGAGAACATGATCGAAGAGTACGACCGTACCTGTTCGCAGACCACGTCATCAAGCAAGTCCTCCCGTATTCGCCTCTTTCTTTTCCCTCTTAATCCGGAGGAGATACCGGTCTCTTCCCATTCAGTTGGGCCGATCATTAATAATTCGACCAAGTCCGATGAATGGTTTCTCAACGCATTGAATGGGTCGGGGTTGATAAACAGAGGGTTCTCGGATTCGGCTACGAACGTGAATTGTTTGTTGGGATTGGACGATGATCGTCAGGTTAATGTCGTTGAAGCTGGTTTGAAAGATGACGGGACCGGGAGTCGGAAGAATATGAATTCGAAAAACCAAGATGTTCATTCAATTCCCGATTCTCCTATGCTTGAAACTAATTCTTCATTTGGTTCAACATCTTCGTCTCCTTCGCTTGCTAACTTGCCTCCAATTCGAGTCCGCCCCGAGGACCAGAGAGAGCCTAAATTGATGGGGATTGAAGAACGGTTTGCTCAGTTTACTCTAACTTCTGGCAGCGGTGGTGGACCTGGAGGTGTGAAGCAGCAGGAGGAAGGGTTCGTGGCTTTGCCAACGTCCCCGCCTATGCCGGTGGGCATTGTTGTTCCCGGTGATGGGCTGGGTTTGACTTCAGGTGTGGTTCCCGGAGAGTATACTAATAGGGGCTTCTTCGATGATGAAAGATCCGATCATGGGGCTCCTGTTGGGTATAGAAAACCAGCAGCTCCACAGTCACTGCCTCAGCGTCTCCAAAACCAACAGAAGTCCGGCAGTGGTCATGAATTGGCTTCTCCGGATTCCGTCTCAAGGTACAGTTTTTTTAATCATCCCTGAATTCGTTTCTACTGTTTACTGTTAGAATTTTAGAAAGTGGCTGAGATGTTTTTTATGTTTGTAATTTTTAGCAGTGATAGTAGCTTTACAAATCCGTTGTCACGCCAAAAACCGATGATTTATCAAGACCCAGTTGTTCAAATCTCATCTGGGACTAACAGGGCTCCTGCAAACCCTGTCGATCCTAATTCAAACCCTCAGGTTCCGATGCAACAACCGGTTCAAGACTCTGGTTATATTTTGCAGCAACCCCAATTCGATCAGCAACAACAACAACAACAACAATTCTTACATGCTGGTGCAGCACATTACATTCAGCATCACCCCACTGGGGCAGTGCCAATCTCGGCTTATTACCCTGTATATCCTTCACAACAACAAAGCCATCATCGGCATCACACACAGATTGATCAGCAATATCCCCTGTATTATGTGCCTGCAACTCAAGCCCAAGCTTACAACATGCCTGTCCAGCAATCTAGTATCAGTGAAGCCGCCACAGCGATCCCATCCAGCCGTCCATTGACTACTCTAGCATACAGCCATATGAAAAATCCTCCTATCGCCGAACCCGAAATGACTGCTGCCACTGGAGTGTACAGGATAACAGCCACTGGTACACCACAACTTGTTCAAGTGCCAAACAATCAACATCGGCAACAATATATGGGTTACTCTCACATTCACCATCCATCACAATCGGTGGCACCTACTTCTGCCGCAACTGCTTCATATGCTTATGAATTCACTGATCCCGCTCGTGGTCAGGTATATTATACTCGGCCTCTGACTCCGCCTCCTACAATGTCTTCTCAGTACCAAACCATGACTGCAGCTTCTGCGGTAGTGTTGCCGGATGCAAATTCTCAACTTCCGGTCGATAATGTCAAGCCACAGGTCAGAACATCGCAGCCAATATAAATCATTAAAGAACGCAAACAACAATTTTGTGAAATGGTTTTGGTTTATAACTTTACATATCTTTAAAATTCTGTTTTAGTGTCTGCCTTGTTTGTGGTTATGTATTCCTGAGAGAAAAATAACTGGTGCTCTTTTACTGCTTTGTGTATTGTCATATGAAATGAAAGTCATCTGAAGATTATTATACTGTAAAAGCTTCAACTCAAAAGTATTGTGTGTTGTACTGTTAATATATACCAGTACTGTTTGAATATATCTTCTCAGACTCTCCTTTCTTTCTCTCTCTCCCTTCTTTTTCCATCTATTTTATGTTCATTTACTCATCTGCTACCCTACTTCCTTTACTATTCAACCTTTACGTCACTCACTCCCACTCCCACTCCCACTCCCACTCCCACTCCCACATGGTTGTTAATAGTAAAATGGGATTATTACTGCTGCTTTCTTCTTGCTTCTTTCATGTTCGAGAGAGCCATCCTCCGGGAATTGTCTCAGGAAAGGCGGGTTAATATACGGCTAATATACAGCATTATCGGATACATTAAAATGTATTTAATAAATTCGGTTTAGCGGTACCTATTATGTTGACAACTAATAATGTTTTAGGTAGAAAATATGAAAAACTATTAAAAAATTTGGTAACCGGTAAACTTTGGTTATCGGTAAGTATCTATCCTTTTTATAAAAGTGTCCATACGTTTAACATATCAAGTAAATTTTACCGGTTTTGTCATAATGAATCTGGTTTTGTCATATTTTTACCTGTTATATTGTAAATTATCTATCCTTTTTATAAAAGTGTCCATACTTATTTCACTGTGAAAATATATTTATTATTATCTTTAGTTAATATTGTTAAATTTAAAATCTAAATAATATTTTATAAAATATCAAAACAATCAAATGATTTTTTGTGTAAATGAAATTATTAAATTAATATTGTAGGTGGAAAACATGAAACACTATTAAAAAAATTGAAACATAAATTACATAACTTTCAAAAAAGTATATATCATTTTTATAAAAGTGTCCATACTTATTTCACTGTTGAAAACATATTTATTATTATATTTGGTTAATATTGTTAAATTTAAATTCTAAATAATATTTTATAAAATATCAAAACAATCAAATATAATTTTGTGTAAATTAATTTATTAAATTAATATTGTAGGTGGAAAACATGAAACACTATTAAATAAATTGAAACATAAATTACATAACTTTAAAAGCAGTTTTAAATCCTAAAAAGTGTCGATACTTTTAAAAAATATATCGATCCAAAACGATATACCAGGTAAAAATATGATAAAACCGGTAACAAAATGTTAAAACCGGTAAATTTAAAAGTGTCGATACGTTATATAAGGATCGACACTTTGTGAATTTAAAAGAGAAGCAATTATAGCGCCTATAATGTGTCGATACTTTAAAAAAAAATATCGATCCACAACGATATAACAGGTAAAAATATGATAAAACCGGTAACAAAATGATAAAACCGGTAAAATGATACCGGATATATTGAAAGTGTCGACACTTTCGTAAGTACGTGTAATAAATTATCGACACTTTCAAAGAAATAGGTAATTATCCTTTCGAAAGTATCGACACCTGACATAAAAGTATCGACACTTTTGTATTTGTATCGATTAATATAATAACATATCCGATGAAAATATAAAGGCCATAGCTAAATATCCTCTGAAAAAAGATAGAACGGACGAGTTTTTGAAATCGAAGAGTAATTGTTGCTGCATTTCAGAAGGCGTTTCTAAAGCGAAGTTTGTTTGTTTGTTGCTGCAGTCGAATCGAAAAGTATGTTGTCGAAACCCTAATTTTTATTATTACAGTAATCGCGATAGGGTTTTTTATGTGTTGTTTGGGGTTTTGGAGTAAGGAAGCATTTGGGACCGATTGCAGGTAGAAATAGATATTCAAGGAAAAATATAATGTCGATACTTTATTAAATATTATAGGTAGAAAATGATATTATAGGTTGTATAAATGTGCCGACACATTTTGGTGTGGCCATTCAATTCTTTTGAAGAAAACCGTTTTACCACAAGAGTAGTTATCTATATTTGTATATTGAAAAGGTATGTAACAAAATAATTTGATTTGCGTAAACTGATATATGAAGGAAAAATGGAGTCAATGGGTTGGAAAATTGTTGGTGGAGCAGATGACTTTGAAATTGAGGCCGAGACTCGAAAGCAACCAAAGGGTGGATATGTACTTCTAGTAAGTATCAATGTCTTTTTGTTATTATTGTTGAAATAGTAATTGGATTAAAGTATCGATAAACTTTAAATTGATTACAAATTTTAAATGTTAACAGTATGGCCGAATGTAAAAGGATGAAGGGAGATGGCACACAGAGCGGTTCGGTATGTAAATGAAATTGACATTGAGTAGTAGTATTTAGTGTTAATGTATTGATTAAGAAACGTTTATGTTTAATATTAGGTGAAAAAAGATGTGAGGTCCAAATGGAATTCAATGAGTGATGCTGAAAAGGAACCTTACATCACACAGTCAAGGAATGATAGTAAAGAATACAAAGAACGGAGGAAAGCACATGAAAATAAGGTATTCATTAAACTTGTAAACGTTGATACAAAATATATAAGAACTATAACATTATATATTGTTAAAAAATGTAGGAAGTGTCGACAAGGTGCAGCATTAAAAGGGTGAATTTATTAATTAAACACCTTAAGGAGAAGGGTCAGTTGAATGTGCTGGGAGAAATAGGTTTTGGATCGTTGATCGGAGTAAGGGATCGACCTATTCGGAGGGAATTGTGTCGATCCTTGATGGCACAATTTGACGTCAGTCAATGTATGGCTAAGTATGGTGATTATTCATTCCCTCTAGGGGTATCGACTGCTGCAGCCGTATTGGGGGTACAAAACAAAGGCAAAAGTGTTATAGAAGTCTGTAGGAGTAAGAACTGGAAAGCACTTGCCTCCAAATATGGTTTGAATCATAAGGTGGCATATACTGAAGTTGAAGAGGATATCAAAAGTGGATCTTACTTGGGGGATGAGCTGAAGGCCCGAGTTCTATTGTACCTTGTCGGGATATTTCTTTGTCCAACGGGTGATACGTCAACAAACAAGGAATATATGAAGCTCATTTGCGATGAAGGCTTGAAGGGTGAATTCAATTGGGCTGAATATATCCATTCGAGATTGATTGAATCAATAATCACCTTTAAAAAGGGCAGCCAGAGATACCTCAAAGGGTGCATAGCAATCTTAGAGGTAAATGAGTTGAATCACTTTTTTGTGTTTTTATATAAAAATATAAATTTTATTATAAATGCAGGTTGCACTGTTCGATTTTTGGTCGGCTGTGAGGCAGTGCCGGCTTATGAAAGAACCGGAGTGGCACGCATCCGTGCATGGGGGAAGGAAGAGGTGGTTAGAGTGATGGTGAAGTTGAAGTTGGATAGAGAGAAGAAGCAAGAAATGGTAATAAATGTAATTAAATAATATAAGAATATATCAATGTCTTAATATTGTAATTTAATTTTTTGAAGGTTATTGGCAAGGATGTAGAGGAGGCAGTGGAGGCAGAGGAGAAGAAAGGAGGGATGGTTGTATTGGGGGATGAAGGTGAGTGGGACGACGGTGAAGCAAAACAGAGTACTTCGACATTTTGATGTCTGAATTGGCTGATATCAAAAAAATCCAATTGAAATCATGCAAAGACAATCAAGAGTCGAAGAGAAACTTGATCAAGTCGTAGAGAAACTCGAGAGAGTCGAAGATACACTCGAGAGGAATAAGGGGTAGTGGAAGGAAAAATAGATGGAGTGGTGAAAGAAGTAGAGGTGTTGAGGGGTGAAGTGGTGAAAGAAGTTGGGGTGTTAAGGGGTGATATTAAGATGGTGACGGGAGAAAAATTTGAGGGAGTGGTGAAGGAGGTTGTTGATTTGAGGAGTGAACTTACGGGGGTGAAGGGGGTGGTTGATAAATACTCGGATGAAGGAGCTCAATTGAAGGGTGAAATAAAAGATATGAAGAGCTATGTAGAAAAAAGTACGATGAACTGAAAAGATATGAAGAAGAAAAGAGGGAGGAGGAAGAAGAGATGGAAGAAATGAGGAGGAAGGAAGTCGATGTCATGTATACACCGGAGAGTGTTATAGCAGCAGTTTTGGATTCGGAATGTCCTGCACCCCAGAAGAAGAAGCAGAAGGTAAGTTTAATAAAAGAATACTTAATTTGATTTTTATTATGTTGTTGTGACAAAATTTGTATGCAAAATTGTAGGTTGAAAAAGCGGATATTCCAACCGGAATTGATGACATCGAAGCTGCAATTTGTGATTATTTATGGAATAACGAGTTAGAATCGGGGTAAGTGAAATATATTGTTTTGTGAGTGATATTTAAATATTTCATGACAAGATATTAATCCTAATGATTCATACAGATATTCTGTAATATCAATGGGAAATCAATTCGCTACTGTATACGACGTTGCAACGTTGAAGCCTACGGAATGGGTTGGCGGTGTGGTAAGTAGAAAGTAGAAAATAAATAAAACTTATTGAATATGTTCTGATTGTGTAATTAATTTTGTTAGGTTATCGATTTGCTCGCCTGGACCATATGCTACGATTCTCAAAAGTCACACCGGAGGATTGGCTACCTTCCATACCTCTTAGTGGTGAGTTAAATTAATAAATATTGAAAAGTAGTGTTATAGACGGTAAATTAATAATGTTTGTTGCGTAATTACAGCAACAGGCGTTGGAAGCCAACAACAAAGAAAGTGTTGAGAATATTTCTACCTTCTGGGGTGTCATATTGGATAACTATGTGAAATTCACCGACTGTGAGAAGGTAAGACACCATACCAATTGCAAATGATGTTTTCGGATATAGAATGTTGAATTTTGTCAAATTGGGTGTGAAATTTGTTGCAGATAATGATCACAATAAACTACCATAATTCACATTGGTATCTGTTGGTGTTGGATATGGTAGATCATGTTGTAACAATATATGATAGTATGTTTACAACTGAAGCAGCTAAACAGAGAGTGAAGGATGCTAAGAGATTGGTATGTATGTCTGTATGAAAGGACATTATGTAATTATAATGCATAATTTTTTTGGTGCATAACTTCTTCTATTTTAATGCAGATTAAAATATTAGATTCTTATAATAGAAACGCATTTGGGTTGAGTCATGTGGATCTCTAGGAAAGTA